AAAAAAAAAAAAGAAAGAAAAGACTCGATTAGGTAAAATCCTGAAAAATCTGATGAGACAAAAATAGATGAATTTTAAAGTATGTAAATAATATCGCGATAAAGCTGCTGGCGGCGGGGAACCCGACAATATTGTTTGATCAATTTCCTCAAAGGGAGTTGTAGAAACCACATTATCTAACTCAAAAACTGCTAGATAGTGTCAGAGTTCAGTGCAAACCACTGTCCGATAAGAATGCTAAAAATGAATGAATTTAGAATACTATATCACGCACCCAGATAACAATCAGCCCCCCTGATGGGACATGTATTTCCAGCCCATCCCAACCATCCAAGCCACATTTACCTGCCTGCCAGGAGCACCCATCTGTACGTTACGTGCCAGAACTACACGCACATAGCCATGTAACGGGACGTGACTGGGCCACACAGATCACCACGCTCATGACACTTAACGGGTTTCATTGACCAACTACATTTTACCCCATCTGGCTGTGGGTGGGTGACCTCGTTTAGGAAATGGGAATGTTCAATTTTTACAACTGTAAAATAATAAAGAGCTACTTTTTGACTTAAGAGATGCCTTGAAAACTTAAGAATTCAAGGAAAAACAAAACAAAGAAGTTCTCTGCTGGGTAGGGTTTAGACCTGGAGCTGAATACTGACCCAAAGCAGACAAGTTTTGCCACCACCACACAGAAGGTCCAGGAGAAACAGGGTGAGACCACAGAGCTCTGAATAGTCTCAAAAACGCAGGAGGTAAGAACTTTGCTACGTGAGCCTGCAAGTCAGTGGGAAGAAACAGTGATTTGTCTGTGTGAGCAGCACCTCAACAGGCAGTAAAGAGGCCGCCAGGCACGGACCCAGACCAGAGCTGGAGTCTGGCTCCCCACGCAGCAGCAGGCCCTGGGGAAGCTACTACTGCCCATGTCAGGACAGCACCTGCACCTGGGATGTAAGAAGCATCTGTAAAGATGACTGTGCATGAGGCAGAACAGAGCGTGCTTGTCAAAGCTGAAATAGCTGAACTGGCCGAACAGTCCCAGAGTGGGCAGGCCGCCCGTTGGGGCAGGTACCTGACTCTTGGTGTCAGAGAGACTGAGACTCGGACACCTGACCCCACCCATCCCTATGTGACAATGAGCAGATTGCCTAACCTCTTCTGAGTTTCAGCTTACCCTCCTGTGAAACTGGAAAGTCCCCGAGAGTGTCCACACTGCACCCCACAGGGGCAGGACTCAGGGCGCGAACCCCATGCACACACGCTCCCTTCACAGGCCCAGCGCCCCCACTTACATAAGTCATGCGGGTCAAAGGGCCGGGGCGGGTCTGGCTCCCAGTCGTCCAGGTCTGTGTCGTCACCGTCTTCCTCCTCGTCGTCCTCCGTGTCCTCATCCTCATCTTCATCCTCTTCTTCTTTTGCCTCCAGTCTCCCTATAGGGGTCTGCAGAGTCGCCAGAGGGTCGGAACCATCCACACTCTCGATCGAAGGTAGCACCTGGTTATGGACCGGCAGCGGGGCCTGGACATAGGGCACACAGTGAGCAGGCGTCTGCCTCGGTCACACACCCGCACAGCAAGGCCTGGCTGGAGTCTGGTCTTCACACCAGCTCCCTTCAAGGCCCTAGAAAAGTGCTTTCCACCCATGGGCCGGGAGGAGGACTCTGACTTCATTTTTGATGTCTGACTGCTCACAGCTTTTAAGCCCAGCCCTTCCTCATCATCTTCTGCTCACACCTGGGCAGGGTCATTGGCAAGCCCAGGTGTGCCCTCATTTGGGACCAGTAAGAGACTGACACCCGTAGGGCCCTGACCATGTGCGTCCTAACCTACCCCTTAAACGCGACACAGCCTAACCACCTTTCCCTGCCATCTCACACCTGCTTGCGGGGCCCGCCCTGCCTCCTCAGAGACTTCAGTGCATAAGCACCAGACCCCTGCACAGCCTGGCGGCCTATTGTGGGGTACCATCAGTCTCCACATCATTAATAATGAGGGAAGGGTCCTCCCTGCCTTCAGGGTGGCCACAACAGAGGGGCATAATGAGCTGACCTACCTTCCCCACTTCACTGCTAAAACCACACACGTGGTGCTGCACGTGGGTGGCAAAATTCAACAGCTAACGGCTCTGCCCTCCACACTGCAGAGAGGCTGCGGTTTGCAAGAATGGATGGGCTGCCTCTTTGTATCATCATGCCGAAGCCAGTCTCTTGCAAATAACACAGTTTGGGCCATGTATTGAGTTAACAGGCTCAGTAAATGACGGCACCTTCAGAGGTTCCCAGCCTCCCACCTAAGTGCCCTCGACTCCTCTGATGGCACCTTATTTTTCCTGCCCCAGATCCCGCCCATCCTTAGGTCATGTTCAAGCCATGTGCCCTTCTAGTCAATAAATAAAGCAAGTAAGTAAATGCCCACTCCCTCTTCTTTATACTCCTTATGTTCTTCCACCAACTTTTTTTTTTTTTTTTTTTTTTTGACAGAGCCTCAAGCTGTCCCCCTGGGCAGAGTGCCGTGGCATTACAGCTCACAGCAACCTCCAACTCCTGGGCTCAAGCGAGTCTCCTGCCTCCTCCTCCCAAGTAGCTGGGACCACAGGCGCCCGCCACGACGCCCGGCTATTTTTTGGTTGCAGCCGTCATTGTTGTTTGGCGGGTCCGGGCTGGGGATTCGAACCCGCCACCTTAGGTGTACGTGGCTGGCGCCTTAGCCGGTTGAGCTATAGGCGCCGAGCCTTCCACCAACTTTTAAAGCCTACCCTGTTCCAGTTGTGAAGGAACCAACCCCAGTGCCTCCAGGCCTCCCTGCCCTGAGCTCCTGCAGCCCCCGGGGCCACAGAGCCCACTTGTCGACCTCGCCGTGGCTTCCATGCTTCATTACCCTCACCCAGGGCAGCCTGAGCCATTCTGGAACAGTTCTGAGTGTGAGACATCTCTGTGGAGTCCAGATTCGCAACTTGGTGATCTGGCCCAGGACTCTCCTCTGGAGGCCTGCAGAGTGAGCCGAGCTCTCGGCCGTGTAAACAAATAATTGAAGGCCCAAAATCCCTAATTCATTCCATGACTTCTCAGAAGGCCAAACTTCTAGCTCCCTGATCATCTGGCTGCCTTCATTTATATTTTTATTAATACAGCGTCTGACAGCTTTAGCATTTATGACAGCCACAGTTCCACTGCAGGCCCATCCTGAACTCATAAGTGGCTAGAATCCCAAGTCCTTTTATCTCCTCTTAGAGTGCTATTAAGCCATTTTCCCTTTCTCAAAACTTAAATAGCTCATTTTTTACTTAAGCAGGTTCCTGGAGTCCATCCTGCCTCTCTAGCAACACCCCAGGAGAATGGACTGTAGGCTTGAATCACAGATTTAGCTCCACCATTTAGCAAGTTACAAAACTTCTCTAAGCCTCAGTTTCCTTATCTGTAAAATGGACACAATGAGACATATCTCAGTTTGTTATAAGGATCAAGTGAAACAATATGTATAAGGACAGTAGTAGAGAGTCTGGCATTTACTAAGTGCTTAGTTTGGGGTTCTTTGTTTTTTTCTTAGAGATAGAGTCTTGCTCTGTTGCCCAGGCTAGAGTGCAATAGTGTGATCAGAGTTGCCTGCAGCCTCCAACTCCTGGGTTCAAGCTCTGCCTCAGCCAGCTAAGTAGCTGCAACAATGACTGTGTATCACCATGCCCAGCTAACTGTTTTGCATTTTTTAGAGACAGGGTCTTACTATGTTGTCCAAACTGGGGTTGAACTTCTGGCCTCAAGTGATCCTCCTACCTCAGCCACCTAAAATGCTAAGATTTGGGGTGAGAGCCACTGGTCCAACCCCAAATCCTAAGTATTAATGATAATTATTATCATAAATTCTCTACAGCTCATACTACCACTACAACTTTGAAAAACTGCTGAGCATGAAGTAGGTATTCAATGAAGATTAGTCTTTTGAAATACATTCGGCCATTTGGGAAATGACATCAATCCCTTCAAAGAGGAATTCTCTGCTGCTAGTCACAAAAACATCCTTTTTCTGATGAGCATCTAAATCAAAGAACTTCTTGAACTCTATAGAGAAACAGTATTGAGTGTGTTTATTGAGAGTCTGACCTGCTGTGGGAGTTAAGATCATTGCCCAGCATTTGAGACACTTGAGCTCCAGAACAATAAAACCAACCGCCTCAGACGATCTGCATGTTTGACATGCACTCATTCAACTAAGAGCCTGAACTTCTGCACAACATCCCACTTCAAAAGTCTGCACAGGAGCACAAAATTATGGGAGTTGTTTCTGCCTCAACTTCAATAAAAACAGAATAAAATGCCCTTTGAGGGCTAGGACTCCACAAGGAAAAGAGCAGGGTCTGGCAATGCAACCCTTTCGCCACCTCCATGGACCTCCTCAGCAGAGGCTGCGAGAAGCGGCTTTGCTCCCACTCACCGTCTCAGAGCACAGTTTACAATGTCACCTTTACTCTACACCAGAGCTGTAACGCCAGTGCTAGTGATGAATGTACCAGCGGTGAACAAACCACGGCACATGTGCACCTCTACTCCCCAGAAAGCCCTGAAGCTCCGCAGAGCTGACCTGAAAGGCCGAGTGCAGAGTCCAGAGTTATTCTAGGGTAACTACAACATCCTTTGTCCTACCACATTCTGTTAGACTCTAGTTCAGTGATTTTTCAGCTGATGTGCCGTGAAAATTTTTAAAGATCACTAAATTGTTCTTAAAAGAAGTTAAAGCACAGTAAGCATATTCTTTTTTTTTTTTTTAATAGAGACAGTGTTTCATTTTGTTGCCCTCAGTAGAGTGCCATGGCATCACAGCTCACAGCAACCCCCAGCTCTTGGGCTTAGGTGATTCTCTTGCCTCAGCCTCCCGAGTAGCTGGGACTACAGGCGCCCACCACAGCATCCAGCTATTTTTCTGTTGCAGTTTGGCCAGGGCCGGGTTCGAACCTGCCACCCTCCGTATATGGGGCTGGTCCTGAGCCACAGGTGCTGCCCATGTTTACTTTTTTTTGATCAACATAATTTAGGTGTGCCATGAAAGTTTAACTATAAGTTCAACTGTGCCATGAGATAAAAAGGTTGAAAAACACTGCTCTAGTCCAGCAAGGTTACTGCTGGCTTCTTGCCACTGCGGAGGAAGCTGACATCAAAATAATACCAACAACCTTCACCTCCCCTGTGCTGGAACTCTCCTAACAAACTATAGCAAAGGGCAGGCTTAACCACTTCGGCTTTTTTTTTTTAAGACACAGTCTCACTCTGTCGCCCTGGGTAGAGTGCCGTAGTGTCATAGCTCACAGCAACCTCAAACTCCTGGATTCAAGAGATCCTCTTGCCTCAGCCTCCCAAGTCACTGAGACTACAGGCACCCGCCACAACGCCTGGCTCATTTTTCCATTTGTGGTAGAGACAGGGCTCACTCTTGCTTAGGCTGGTCTCAAACTCCTAAGTTCAAGCAATCCACTCCAGCATTACTTTTAAGGATAAAAAGGCTAAGGCACAGGTTGAATATGTATCAGAATCACTCTACCATTGAAAAGGAATGAAAGGGGTTGATGACAGTAATTTCTAGGTAAGAACTGTATCTTCTGGCTTGGCGTCTGTAGCTCAAGCTGCTAAGGCGCTAGCCATATACACCCAAGCTGGCGGGTTCAAATCCAGCCTGGGCCTGCCAAACAACAATGACAACTACAACCAAAAATAGCCGGGCATTGTGACAGGCGTCTATAGTTCTAGCTACTTGGGAGGCTGAGGCAGGAGAATCGCTTAAGCCAAGAGTTGGAGGTTGCTGTGAGCTGTGATGCCACGGCACTCTACCCAGGGCAACAGCTTGAGGCTGTGTCACAAAAAAAAAAAAAAAAAAAGAACTGTATCTTTCTAGACAGCACAGACCCTAACACACAGTAGACATTCATTACAAATTTATTTAATGAATAACTAATGCAAATTAAACTGGCCTTTACTGAATGAATACATAACCTAGGAATGTATTTCAATTCCTTTGAGGCCAGGTAACACTATCACCCAGCTCATAAAATGGCAGAGGTGTGAAGTTTAAATTCTAACTCTGCACTGCTTTTTCCACTGCATCACAATGGCCCCTGCGGAATCTGGTCTATTTGAAGAGAGCAACAGAGGCAGTGAACATGACCCACACCTGGAATACCTGAGCAGCAAGGTATCCACACGTGGGCCTGCAGCCACAGGCAGGCAAACCTGGACAAGCCACGTTTTGTCTGTTTTACTCTAAGGAAGAGAAGACAAAGCACAACATCTTAACTCTGTGCATTTTGTCGTGTACAACAAAACACAGAGAAAGGAAAACGAGTCTGTTAGACTTAAGGTATACTTTCTCCTTCCCGCTTAATGCTCTGTAATTATCTCTGAAACTACATAATGCATTTGTGGATACAGTCTGTCCGAGGAGTGAAATATGAAACTACACTGGACAGCAGCAAACGCGACAGAATGTCCCTCGACTCCTACCGGGGCCGACTGCGCGTGCAGCCTGCTCTCCCCTCGGCAGGCGGGGACCCACACATGTTCATTTTCAAAGAGGAGACTGTGCTTCTCTGCCTGGGGACCACTGACGCCTTTCTGAAGAATAAGGAAATACGTACATGAAAAATGCTCCTAAGAGATTCTGTCGCCACTAAAAACAACTGAGAATCGGAACCTTTTTGTTAAAGAAAGAAAAAAAAAAAAAAAAAAAAAGCAACCGTCATCTGTGTTAAACCCTCACCTCCAATTTCCTATCCAAAATTTATCCAGGTCACTGAATAAACTGACAAGTGCGGAGGTGTTACAGCCAGAAATAAAAACTGATGGAAGGACTGGCATGAGGATGGTTAGGCTGCCTGTAATGCCGGGGTTCACGGAGCCATCCCTATCCCTTTGAACAAAACACGAGACAAGCAGATTGTGCCTGGAGATTGGAAAAGATGAAAGCTGTGAGGTGCAAATGGTAATAAAACCTCCTTTAATTAAGATTAAGTGTTAATATTAAAACAACAAAATCTCGCCTATCAGATTGGCAAAATATGAAAAGAACACAGACACCCAGCGTGGCAGGACTGTGTGGAGACGGGCATCTCATGTTCTACGTTACTGGTGGGAATATAAATGTTTTCAATATGTGAAAAGCAATTTAGAAAGTCAATCACCAAAATAATTTTCCCATTTATAAGGAAAAATTTAAACATATGTCGTATAGGGAGAACAGTGTAATGAACCTCACATACCCATCACTCAGCTCAACAATTATTGACTCACAGCCAATCTTACATCAACCTATCTCCCACCTACTTTGTATTTTGAAGATTATTTTGATTAATCTTGATTAATCACTAGATTGTTTTGAAGCAAAACCTAGACATTACACATTTTCATCTGTAAATAGTTCAGTGTCTATCTCTAAAGGAAAATGGCTTTTGTATTTCATATATTATCACACCTAAAAAGTTAACTATTTCGTAATCCACACAAACACTCAGACACCCAGTTAGTGTCATGATCTCCCCCCGTGTCATCAACTTGGTTTGTTCAAATCGGGATCCACCTGACTGATACATCCATCAAGTCTCCTTATCTGTGAGCTCCCCTTCCTCTTCTTTTCCCTTACAATTTGTTTGTAAAAGAAACCAGGCCATTTGTCCTAGAGTTTCTGGCAGGCTGGATTTTGTAGATGGCATTCCTGTGTGTTGTTTAATTTGTTCTGTTTTTTCTGCCATGCTTTTTAGAGCTGGATCTAGAGGCTTGATCAGATTCTGGTTCAATTTTGAGGTTAGAAAACTTTCATGTGTGGCGTAAGCAATAGGAAGTTATTACAATGCCAGGAGGCATATAATGAACAGATGTCACTCTTTTAGTGACGTTAAGAATGGTCAGAGCCGGCTGGGCATGGTGGCTCACACCTGTAATCCCAGCACTCTGGGAGGCTGAGGCGGGTGGGTTGCTTGAGCTTACAGGTTAGGGACCAGCCTGAACCAGAGCGAGACCTCATCTCTAAAAAAAAAAAAGCCAGGCATTGTGGCAGGCACCTGTAGTCCCAGCTACTTGAGAGGCTGAGGCAAGAGAATCGCTTGAGCCCAAGAGTTTGAGGTTGCTGTGAGCTGTGATGCCATAGTACTCTACTGAGGGCGACAAAGTGAAATGCTGTCTCAAAAAGAAAAAAGGACTGTTCAGAGTTGTTACCACTCTGATCTATCCATTACAAAGTACCTCATCAGCTTTTCCCAGATAGATTCAGGCTGCTGCTGCTGATAAATGCCTAGATCCATATTTCATTAGAAGATGCAAAATGCTGATATTCTAAGTTGATCTCCCCTTCTTTATTTTACTCGGAATGTTTCTATAAGAAAATTTCCCTCTTGAAATAACTGGCAACCTGAGTAGCTTCCAGGAGAAAGGCAGGATTTCCCCCATGTTTGCCAGTTTTCAGAATAATGTGGTAGATCCTAGCATGCTCAAAAAGTAACCAACGGGTTATTTATTTTAACATCAGTAGGAACTTGTAGACATAAAACATATTTAAGTCCTTCAATCTGTTACAGATATTATCCTTTTTACAAGTCAAATTGTTCCATTTTGGCCCCTTCAGGTTCCCTCTTGAGTTCTGCCCATGTGCTGACAAAACAGGACTCTGTCATAGCTCCCCGGCCTTCTGAGAAGACGAGATGCTCCAAGTTCATCTTGTGTATTCCCAGCCCCAGAGCCACAGTCAGCCTTTCTCCACGGAGCTCCGATTGCTCCCAGTGGAGAACTACACTTAGAGATCACTGATGAACTGATCACTGTAACTAAACCTCTTCAGTGGCCAGAACTGGAAAACACGTTAGGAGAGGCTCCGATTCAAATTTAGGATTCTGGGTTTTTACTTAACTAGTTTGATATTTAGATTTGTTATCTTTTTTTCACTTTCACCAACACACCTGACTCTTAACCTAAAATCTGAATGTCATTTGTTTCATTTTTCTCTGGGAAATTCATCCTAAAGAAATAATTAATCTGATATGACAACAGTGAGAGTATTATTTACAGTACCAAAAGGGGGGGAATAATTTACATGTAAAATATTATAAATAATAGTATATCCCACAATATATGTACATATAATAATCCATTGTTTGATGGAATCAATACATATTCACAGAAATGAGGTTGTTTTGGTATATATACATAATTATTAGAAAACATTATTAAAATAAAATAATTCTCACTCAAGTTCACAGACACCATAGCATCGTAGCTCACGGCCAGTGAGGAATAAATTCAACCCCAGCTGACGTAACAAAGGCTCCTAAAAACTCTCTCCACATTTAATAGATGATATTGACACAACTACTGTTCGTTTTTCCAATTTTAAAATGGAAGTATATAAATCATCTACTAAAAAATAAAAATGTAGAAACTGCTTCCTAATGAGGATTTATTTATTAATCATTCGTGGCACTCGATAGCAGATAAATACTAGCTGACATGAAAATAAACCTATCTGGATTCATGTTCCCTGTAAGGAAGACAGATAATACTGAGCCTCTGTACCTTGTTTTCACTTTCACATCCTTGCGGAAAACAAGGGGAAAATCTCCCAAACCAAATAGGACACATTAGAAATGTGGGTAAAGGGGCCAGTTGTAGTAGCTCCCACCTATAATCTTAGCGCTTTGAGAGATCGAGCCAGGAACATCATTTAAGCCCTGGAGATCACGACCAGCCTGGTAACATAGAGAGACCCTGTCTCTGCTAAAAATTTAAAAAATTAGCCATGCAGTCCCAGCTGCTTGGGCACTTGGGAGGCTGGGGTGATAGGATCCCTTAAGCCCCAGAGACGGAAGGTGCAGTGAGCTATGATCACACCACTGCAGCCTGAGAGACAGAGTAAGACCCCGTCTCCAGAAAAATCAAAGGAAGTGGGGACACTGAGGTAAAGGGAAAGAAATGCTTTAAAAGAAAACTAAGGAGAACTTCAACCTTTCAGAAGCTAGAATGAGAATAGATGCCGCCAAATTTATATGTAATTTAAGCAGGAATTTCTTTCAATATTTAAAAATGGAGTAAGTATTAAAAATGTTTCCAATTTTTAAAAAAGACACTTTTAAAATTCATGATTATTCTTTGGAACTTGAACCAGTATCCTGCTTACGTGCTTATTTTCCCAACAAATCACTTTTTTTTTTTTTTTTTTTTTTTTTGCTTTTTTTGGCCAGGGTTGGGTTTGAACCTGCCGCCTCTGGCATATGGGGCTGGCGCCCTACTCCTCTGAGCCACCAGCGCCGCCCACAAATCACTTTTTATTACCAGGCTATCCCAGTGTAGACTGACTGGCGTATGTCAGCATTATAGTATGTTTTTCTTTGCTTTTGTTAAAGGATCTGGAGAACATTCTTAGTATATAAAACAAATATCTGGAGAGGGCACGATGCAGAAGGACGGGGGGCATTCCAGGGAATAGTAACATTTACGGCATCATCTCCAAACAACAAAAGGCAAAAAGGAAAAGCGTTACCTGCTGACCTGTGGCGTCCTGCTGGACATAAGCTACCTGGCCTGAGTCTGTAAACAGAGTCTGGACAAAAAAAGAAAGAAAGAAAAAACACATTATCAACAGATCTTTAGACAGCCTGCCTACACAGGGAAATTATCCTGCTCCTAAGCACCAATTCCTGGGAGAGTTAACTCCCACTATAGCTAGTAATAATCCTTCATTAATAAAGAGGGTAAAGATAGTGATCTTACACTCAGCTAACGCCGCTCATTCAGACGGCTCCAAAGAGACTGTGTAAGCTAACCATCCCAAATGGCTAATGTACTTTATGATTTTATTCTTAAGCAAAGCTTCTCTTGAGGTTGAACATCACAGCTAAGTAAAAAGGCATGTCACAGAAAGAAAAAAGACGGACCATGAATGAGGGAACACAAGTACACACACAACACTACTGTGATTAAATGAAAATGGACAGCTACGTCCAGGCGTAAAGAAGAGTATTATACACACGAGGATCACAACTCTTTCAAACACAAATGCACGTTCGTAATCAGGAGGAGACTAGAAGGAAAATAAATTGAATTTAACATTCTATAAGTTCTTTAAGGGGTTAAATAAAGTCAATAAAGTCATAATTTAAAAAAGAAGAAGAAGAAAGCCTCTACCCATTAAAAACACACAGTAAGCTGGGTCACGATGCAGCAAAGTTAACTAAAGAAAAATATTCAAAACCATTATAGCCAGCGCACCACGGGCAATAGCTCTAATCCAGAAAACATACTTTCCTCTAAAGCTTTTAAAAGTCTTTAATTTGCCCAAGCCATTTGCAAAACTATGGAAATAAGAACCCTGGCTAAGTTTTGATTCCAGAGGAATGTAAACAATAGTTAAAGCCAATGTCAAGATTTCTTAGATTTGAGATTTAAAAATTATCATAACTTAAACATTTAGTCACCTTGCCATGAATTAAAAGTTGGGCACAGCCATTCTTTCCAGAAACTGTGTGATCTTACTTTAACATAGAAGGGGACCTAGAACTAAGCAGAGGCCTTCCAAAAGTGCTATCTAAGTGTGCAGCAAGTGCATCTTTGTATGGATTTGTAATTTTTAAGAGTAATTGGAGCTTCTTGATTAAATCTTGAATAAGGGAAAATTTTTATTAACAGGATACCTAAAAGTACGAAATTTAGTTTTTAAAAACATATATTTAAATGCACCTTATACACTGTAAAGTACGAACATAGAAACTAAGGTTCATAAATTGTGGCCTATTTGTGTGATGGTTTTGGAAACTAACTCTTCAAGTCACTGACAAAACAATAAACAGCTAGAATTATATGGCTTTTACCAGTAAAACCTCAGCTTCTGGTACAGCCCTACAAATCAGTAACAAGCTAGCAGAACTCCTACACATTTAACTGAAATAATCTGGGTGGTTTTTTTTTTTTTTTCACTGAGCTATCTTTGCCATTTTGGCCTGGTTCCTAATACTTAGCAAAAGTAACAAAGTCATAACCTAGTCAAGATTAGCAGGGAAAAGAGCTGACATGCACCTAATGCCGTCTTTATTATAGTAAATTTCAATAAATAGGCCATTATCTTCCTCTGCCAAATTCGTTATAAGCTCCTTGAAAGCACAAATCTTATGTGAACATTCTCTGTGTCATCAGCACTTAGCACAAGGACGGGCAGAGCGTACGTAACTGGTGAATCAATTAATAGATTAAAAAATTATAAACAAACGATCCTTCACATGCCTGTGCAGCTTCCACAGGGTGGATGTACACCAGTGTGTGCTCCGGCCCATCCACTGAAGTGTAGGAGGCACCATCTGCTGTGTACACCACCTGCTGGGGCGGGCGAACCTGGTCATCGGCATAGACGATCTGAGCCACAGTTCCAGCATCAGGAACGAAGTGTACCTGGAGCAAAAAGCAGACAAGTACATAGAGTAAAACCAGTCTCGCTACGGCATGCAACCAACCAGGCACACCTGCATTCTGAAATATCTCCCAGTGAAAGAAAAACAGGGGTCAATACGCCCTCAGCGTCTAGTCAGTGACCAGACCCAAGATCCAAGGACCCTGGCGCTGATTTACTGCTTAGTGTTAGACAACTGACTTAAATTCCTGTTTGCCTCATGCGGCCACGGCAGATAACTCTTCCTGGGGGTAATAAAGAGGATGGGTAACTGATCCTATAAAAGAGACACAAGTTTCCTGCTTGCCAATATTACCAAAATACAAAATGCAAATTATTCTGTGATGGGAAAAGCTACGTCAAGATTCAAAAGCCAATTGCTTTCAACACATCATAAAAATTCTATTTTATAACTAATAGTACCTTTCAGCAGACACATTAAAATGAGGTCACTTTCTTTACTATAAGTTTTTTCAAAGACAAAGGACATATTAGAGGTATCTCAGTAAATCCTTGCTGAATTAATGAGTGTAATAAAATTCCTCACTGCCAGATAGGTAAGGATAGAAAAATTCTAATAAAATATTTTTAAGGGGTTTTGAACAACTATTTCAGCTGTCACCAGGGTAAATAATTTTCTATCTCCCAAGACCTATAGAACTAAAGTAGAAACTATGTTTTGTAAAATGCTTTCTGAGTGCTCAGGTTTGGAGGACTCAATTCCCTCCCTCCCTCCCTTCTTCCTTCCCTTTTTTTTTTTTTTTTTTTGGAGATAAGGTCTCATTCCGTGGCCCAGAATGGAATCTGGAGTGCAGTGGCCCCATCATAGCTCGCTGCAACCTTGAACTCCTGGGCTTAAGCAATCCTCCTGCCTCAGCCTCCTGAGTAGCTGAGACTACAGATTCATGCTAATACATCTGGCTAATTTTTGTATTTTTTGTAGGGACGGTCTTGAACTCCTGGCCTCAGCAATCCTTTCACCTCAGCCTCCCAAAGTGCTAAGACTAATCTTCCATGGCGCATAGCCCTGGAGGATGGATTCTTGAAGGATTGAGGTTGGCACATGGCCTGATGCCTCATACTGAAGGTCTGGAAACAGATGGCCAAAGTACACACTGGGGAGAGAAATAATTTTCGTGGTGATTCTGAGGTCAGGCACTCTTAGGTTGGAGTCCTTACACTTACGCTAACTTGGTTTTGGACCTAAATTTTTCATGTCAGTTTCCTACAGCAGGGAATAGTAGATCCCAGAGATAATATAAACCTAATTTAATCCCCAGAAAGAGATCTAAAAGACCAAAAATCAAGCACCACATAATAAGACAAGCTCCCACCTTTATACTAAATAGTCTGGCTTCTACATAAATTTGATTTACACATGAAAATTAAGTTTGTGCATTAGAAAAATTAGACTCATAACACATTTGAGCAGTTTTATTTGCTGTAAGATAACTTTGGCACTTTAGATTTGTTCATTAACATCAAAGCCTTGGACTAGTTTCAGTGCTTAAAAAAGGAACACCCATTTCCTCAAAGACAAGCTAAGGTTTTCTGCTTGGTGTTTATCCCTCAGATTCTGCTAGACCAGAATTACTGGCTAAGACAGAAACAACTGGGTGGGCAGTGGGGTGCTGACCTCGGCTGTCCCTAAGACAGGGACTCTGGGCATGCATGGGATCACAACCAGATTTTCTTTTGTTTTGCTTTTTAATGGACCACCAAAACATATAGGTGCATGTAAAGATCTTTGAAATGGTTTCCAGGAGAAACAAAACAGAACTCTCAATTGCTCTGCTGAAAACATCTCTAGAACTCTTTTTTTTCTTTAAGGAATCAGATGGAGACTTTTAAATCATATACGAGATGAGCAGTTTTCTTTATTGTAATATTTATTATATTGCTTAAATGAAATAAAATTTTCATATTTCCTGATTTTGATAAGAGTACTATGGTTATACCATTTAATAAGAAATTAAATGAAGGCTCGGCGCCTATAGCTCAACCGGCTAAGGCGCCAGCCACATACACCTAAGGTGGTGGG